CTAGTCGCTGCGTGGGGTCGCCGCGCAGCAAGGGGGGGGGAGATCGAATTGAACTTGGACGTGTCCTTGTCGTCGTCGCGCGTTGTTGCGCGCCGGCCGGAGAGCCCGTCTCCGCGCCCTCTGCCTCTCTCCGCGCATGGAGCAGAGGCTAGTTCCATTTCACTCCCGGGGCTGATTCACTGTGGCACAGCTCGCGTTACAAAACCTTGATTTGACCATTTGCGCAAAAAGGTACATCTCGGTGCCTTCCAGAGGCAGCTGCGTCCCCGCCGAGTAGACGGTTGCACACAGCAGGTGGCGCGGTGTGCAACCGTCCACTCGGCGGGGTCGCAGCTGCCTCTGCGCGTCCTGGGGATGTACCTTTGTCGCGCGCCGGAGACGACTCGACGCCGCTGAGATCGGAGATCAAGCTCTGACAGGTCGCACGTCGCTCCTTTGACGCCGACGTGACTCACCCGTGCAGATCACATCAGGACACGGTCTCGACGCGCTCGGTACGACGCCTGCGACCCGTCTCGGGTCAGGTGGCACGACGCTCATCGCGCCTACCAGCGCAGCCGTGCAAGTTGACACGACGAGGTCGAGCACGCATCTATACGCTCGCCGAGCCTTCCTTTCCATCCCATTTGGCAGCCTGGGAACGGTGGCGGTCAGAGGCAAAGCATACGAGGGGTGGTGGAACCACATGTCACGGCTACTGCCGGCTCGACCCCACGATAGCCTCCGGAGGCTGACTTTGAGGCACAATCATCGGACGACGTCGGCGAGTTGAGTCGCGCTCGCGGTAGCCAGATGACCTCTCATACTAGTATCATCGGCCATGGCCGCAGGAAGCGCGGGGGAGGGCGCTGGGAGCAACACGGAGCTCCGTTGGACGTTTTCAAGATTAGCGTGTTCCAGAGTGAAATGGAACTAGCCTGAGAGACCATCGGGTCCCATATTGCATATACTCGCACAACAACCCTGCTAATACTGGAACAATTTTTTTGCCTCTTCTTTCTAGAGTTTGCTTCTCGAAGTCGGAACACAGTACAAGTACTCATCTGTGACCCACACGGTTGCACGCGGCAGACTAACTCTCCACAGAGGACCGGGGGGGCGACGAACTAACAGCGGCGGCTTTGCGCGTGTGGCGGCACAGGACAGACAAGACACGGGGCGGAAAATGCTGGCGGTGTGCGATCAAGCGCAGGAAGGTTGAAGGAAAGTTCCAGGGGGGGCGCGCGCGAGGCGCGAGTTTCGAGGTTGGCGCCGGCTGTCGCCGGGCGGCAGGAAGGCGCCGTGGATGGCCAGCAGCTCACTGCGCGGCCGCCGAGGCGGGCTCCGGCTTGTACTCCTCACTTGCCGCCGCCCGACCCTCCTGCTTGGACTGGTAGTCCTTGATGGCGGCCTTGACGGCGTCCTCGGCGAGCATGGAGCAGTGCAGCTTCACGGGCGGCAGCTTGAGGTGCTGCGCGATGACTGAGTTTTGGATCTTACTCGCCTCGTCCATGGACTTGCCCTTGACCCACTCGGTGGTGAAGGACGAGCTCGCAATCGCAGAGCCGCAGCCAAACGTCTGCGCGCGCGG